ATGGGAGAAGAGGACAAATGTGGGGGCCAGAGGTGGGCTGATTTGTCAGACAGGTGAATCTCCGCCGTGAGAGTGGTGGTGGTGGGGCCCATCGCCGGACAGCCTGGACTCAACACATTTTATGTTTTTAGAAAATCAATTGTCAAACAAATATCATTCCCGATTATAATTATTGTATATTTGAGTTTCCAGTAAACTCGAATATACAATAATTATAAATCTAGAACTCGAAATCGAATCGATTCAGTTTGGGTTTAGAAAAATGAACCCAGCCTTACTTGAAATATTAATCCAACCCAATTTAACCCAAATTGATTGGGTTGATATGAGTTGTCGGATTGAATGTACATCTTTTACGAACGGTTTAAAAATAATTTTTTATTTAAAAAGGGTAAAATTTTGAAGTGAATAAAGGATTTTAGTGATGGCTCAACCAAATTTATAAATTAAATTATAATTTCTAAAATTATTACTAAATTTGTAATTTTTTTAATAAAAAATAATTGTCCAAATCACCTTTTCTTTATTTATAAAGGAAAAGTTTGATATTTTATATTTATATTCATCAATGCACTTTATTTTACTCTTAATAATAGAGTATTTTATATTCCCTAACAATTTTACTATTGGTAAATATTTTTCTATTTATATTTACGTTAAACATTGATGAAAAAGAAATTAAATTTACATTTTCCATAAAAATACTCTTGAATTTTAAATTTTTAAAATTTTAATAATACATTTCTTTTAATCTAAAAAATACATTAAAAATAGTAAATACTTCATTGTGAAAATATACTTGAAATTTGGTTTCAAAATATAAATTTTTAAACTTGTTCTAAAAATATGTTTGAGTTTGGAAAAGTTTCAATAAACTCTTTCCATTTAAAAAATTTTTAAAATATATTTACTCCTAAACTTTTCAAAATAACGTCAAAATTTTATAAATAATTTACGAGGTTATAATTTACGGTAAGAATTCTTTTAAATTTTTTTTTTTTTATAAAGGTATATCAGGTTAATGTAAGCTTTAAAATTTTATGGTTATTTTTAAGCGGTTCTAAACGTAAAAGTAAGTTTAATTTTTTTTTTTTAAATCTTGAAGGGTATTAATGAAATTTTTTAAAAATCAAAAGTATTTTTTTAAATAATATTAAAATTTTAAAGGGTATTTTTTGAAGTCAAATACTAACGGTTTCATCCAAAACTAGCGAATATTTTTTAGATTTTTTTTTTTAAATTTATAGATATTTTTATTAATTTAAAAATTAGAAATTAATTTTTTTTTAAAAAATGATAAGACATTTCACAAAAAGAAAAAAAAAAAAGGTAAAGAAAGAACCAAAAGAATATAGTTATAATGGAAAATAATGAGAAGGAAAATCAATTTTCTCTTTTTATCACACAAAATTGCAAGAAGAATGTGACATTTTTTTGGTACCCCTACCTAAATTTGTCCTTTAAATACCCTAACCACATGGCCCATACTCGTAATATTTAAACACCCTCTCGTAACTAAACGTCTCTATATATGGTCGAGATTTGAACCTACGAACTTTAAAGAAAGTAAAACTGTTTTAATCACCGTTCGTTCGTTCTTAGACCCAGTTGATGAAAAAGAAATCTGAATCGTTCCTGTTCGTGAAATTTTGAATGAACTAATTGAACCTTCCCTATAATATCTCGTGACGTAAAAATGACATAAAAATGGTAAGAATATTTGGTGAGAAGAATAAAAAGATGATAAATATGGTCTTGATTTAACATATTAGATGATTCAATGCTCTTGTTCTTTTCGATAACTACACGAAAGTACAATAATAAATGTGACGTTTTAGGTGGCTAAAGGCCAAACTTTTCCGTCCCAAAATTATTGGAAAAATGTTTACTAACTATTACATGTGGCCAACAATCAACGAGAGACTACATTTTTTTCCAAATACATTTTCTATCGTAAATAAGTAGGCACGTTACGACTGTACGACTAAATATCGGTTCAATTATAAATTTATTTCTTATGGTTATTAAGAAAAAGTCGTAATTTAGTTCCCGTAATTTTAAAAGTAATAAACTTATAAGTAATATTGTCGGGACGTTTTGAAAATAATTAATCAAATTTTATTGTGTTAAAAAGATTCGATTACATGAAAAATCGATAAACCCAACCCAAATCGGGTTTGGTTCATGGATTCTTCTGAAACTCGAATTTATTGTTAATTTTAAAATATACATTTTGCTTTGATTATTCTCTAACTCGACTTTAAAATAATTTTTAAGGTAATGATAAATTTTAATTAAATGTTTTACGAGCGGTTATTTTACGTTTATAAGAAAAGAATTTGAATAATTGACTCAGAACAACCAAAACTAATCTAACTCAACAAAATTTACGAGTAAATTGGATTTGATTCACTGTTCAATAAGGATGGTTTGTATTGAAAAAATTTATCACCCGAACAATAAAATTTAGTCTAAAAATGTCTCAATTCAATCCGACCCGACCCACGAAACCCCTAAATTGACCGTTCAATACGAACACAGGTGGCAACGAAAGATGACGTGGAACGAGAGAATTTTGATTTGATTTGATTTCTATTGTGTTTTTTACATTTATTTTTATTATGATTATTATTATTATTATTTTGGCAAAGGGAGTAGTTATTGCTAAAAATTAAATTCGACTTTTTATATCTTTGAGCTAATGCCACAAACTCACTAGAAGCGGGTTGATTCTAATCGGTTCGGTTTGGTTCGGTTCGATTCGACTAGTTAGTCTAGTTTATTGGACCGATTCATCGGACTGATGTTTATGGTAAATTTAGGTCTTAACGAGAAATTTAAAAAAAGTAAAGAGTTATTCTCGCACATTTTAGGTTTACTCGAGATAAGTAGCTAATTGGATAAGTTTACGAGCCCTATTTACATGACTGAGCATGAACTAGAAATATTGTTATTTATGACCTAACATGTCAACGACCCTAAACTTTATAATGAATGGGAATGAACCAAAGTATGGAACGAAGATATTTATGTGAAATTTAGGATTTCTTTTAGGTCGTGAATTATGAGCTTAACAAGGTATATCACGACACATGAATTATGATATTATTGGAGCCTAATATGTATGAATGATCGAGAAACTGCTAGATGAAATTTTTAGTACAAGGCTTAAGAACGTAATGAATTTGTTTGTGCCGTTGGGACGTTATGTGCAGAGACGGTTAAAGGATCGCTAACTATTCCCTTACACATAACTTATTTGGATAAGGGTAAGGATCTACTGATTTGGCAAGCACGAGCTCGTTTCTCTCATGATTATGACTATTATACTATATGAGGACTACTATAGTCGTCAGCTAATCGGACTTTATGTATATACTAGAGTTGGTAGCTTTGTGCTCGTTTTTTTTTTTTACTTTTTTTTCAATATTATGTTTATTTCATTGCATATTTTAAAATTTTAAAATATTGTCTAGATTTTTTTTAAAAACAAATAGATAGAAACAATTATTTATTATTTTTTAAGGTTTGAAATATTTTATATAGTTTGTGTATGAAAATTATATATGATTGAATAAAGTTTAAGAAAGTTGAATTATTTATTGCTCAACTAACATGAGGGGTTGAACTTAAAGAAGAAGAAAAGGATGTGGGGTTGGGTAAATCAAATAATAATTAATTAAAAAATTTCTAAAATTATATTTATTAAAAGAAATTAATAAATTTTAAACAAAGATGTGACAACAAGAAAAATCTAAGGGAACATTAGCCCCAAAAATTAAAAATATCCCTTTGGAAAGGCAAGTGGTGGGGTCAAATAATAATATAGATCCTAATAATTCAATATCTTTTAATTCATTACTCTTTTTAAAACTTTAATAATTTTTTAAAAATTTATTAATAATTCAATAAATTTTATTCCATCCTTGCGAGAATTAAGGTTTTGGTCCTAGAATTTGAAACTCTTACTAAATACGCTTCTGCTTAATTGAACCTCGACTCCGTTTTGAGTATTCTATTGACTTGGCTAAGTTGATGAACACAACGACTCTCCACAATGGTATGATATTGTCTACTTTGAACATAAGCTCCCGTGGCTTTGCTTTGAGCTTGAGCTTCTCCAATATATCTTATACCAATAGAGATAGTATTTTTTGTTTATAACTCATGATCATTCCCTCGAATTTTCATCTAACACTTTTAATCTCTTCTTTCATCCAAGAACTCCAGATAATTTTTTACAAATTAAAGACGCAAATGAGAAGCATAATCAAATTATAAGGAAAAATATGAATAAATAAAAAGAAGATAATGAATATGCTTTGTTTTGTTTTCCCTTTGGCTGGACTTCAAGAGTACAACAGTGATTTCAAGAGTACAACTGTGATGTCCCACATTGGTTGGGGAGTAAAACAAACTACCATTTATAAGGGTGTGGAAACCTTCCTCTAAGAGACGCGTTTTAAAGCCTTAAGGGAAAGTTCAAAGAGGACAATATCTGCTAGCGGTGGATCTGGATCGTTACAAATGGTATCAGAGCCAGACACCGGACGATGTGTCAGCCTTCTCGCTGTTCCCCGAAGGGGGTAGACACGAGGCGGTGTGCCAGTAAGGACGCTGGGCCCAAAGGGGGGTGGATTTGGGGGTGATCCCACATCGATTGGAGGAATGAAAGAGTGCCAGCGAGGACGTTGGGCCCCGAAGGGGGGTGGATTGTGATATCCCACCTTGATTGGGGAGGAGAACAAACCACCAATTATAAGAGTGTGGAAACCTTCCCCTAACAGACGTGTTTTAAAGCCTTGAGGCAAAGCCCGAAAGGGAAAGCCCAAAGAGGACAATATCTGCTAGCGATGGATTTGGGTCGTTACAACAATCCTAAAATATCCTATCAAGCAGCGCCCACATAAGATTTCAAAGCCCATCTCTGTCCCTATCACTAATTTCATCTCTGTCCCTATCACTAATTTCATTTGCTGATATTTCAACAAACTTTTGCATTGGGTGAACCAAAAGCATTTACTTTGATAAACTAAGAAAATGAAATTTGGCAAACATCCCTTCTACAATCCCTATCTTATCAACCTACAATCAATTATCTACACAGAAAGTTGAAACTACTACTCACAGATTGAAGAGGTGCGTCCCCCATTCTTCATCTAATATGAGAATCAAGAGGAAGAAACACTGGATCTGGAACAACCAATGGCAACTTATTAATGTACATAAATAGTCTCTTCTGGTTCTCCTGCAAAATTGAAGTAAGATCAATCGTTTCATTCCTGTCTGTGTAGATCCATAGGTCACCAGAGTTCACTCGCTTGAGGCTATCCCGACAGAAGGGACACGACTGAGAACGACTGCGCCTGGACGATGAAACAGACGGACAAGATAAGGTTGAATATGAGTCTAAGAATAGTGCTACAGTGAATGCAAACTAATCAAATCAGGATAATTTTGAAGATTTTCAGATCCAACAGATAATCTGATTTCAAACTTAGTCTACTTTCTTGAAAGCACTTTTGATTCTATCTTTTTTTGCTGATTGTGTTCAATTGAAAAGTAAAATCATAGTCTAAAACTTACCAATCTCGATAACATTTCAAGCACAAAGAATGGATGCAATGAGGCAAAACAACAATGCTGTTAACCTCCATGCAAATTCCACACTCCTTTTCTCTTTCTTTGTCGATTTCTGACAGTTTTCCCCTTGCAACTTCATCCCTTCTTTTGTATCTGGAATTGCAAACCTCTTTCTGTTTCCTATCTTCCAATTCTGTGATGCCCTTTTGAAGTTGCAGAAGAGAAGGGAAGATTACCACTGTTGATGAGAAGAACAATCCATTAACACCCCCACCAGAAAAGAACAAGACCAAGACCAGAAAGCTAAGTTCCAATACTTAAGATGCAATCTAAGAATCTCACTCACCATAAAATTCTCTAATGCTAGATTTTCGCTCATAAATGGACATGGTGGTCTTTCCATCTGGATAAGTCTGCATCATAACATTACACGACAAGAAGTAATTAAACAATATTGACCTTCATTGTCAAGAAATAGAACATCAGACCTCTTATTAAGTTAGTACAGATAAGGCCTTCTATGGAGAAAATATCAAGCCTACATGAACAAACAAAAAAGCTGCTAACTGGTAACTATTGCCAAATAGTACCAAAATGTAGAAGGCATACCACATAGACATGGATTCTTAGCAGCCCCAAGGCACCAGCAAGGCGGCAGTCAGTCCATTGAACAAGAAAAAGGAAAAAGGGAGCGGCAGGACTGTAAGATATTCTCATTTGAACACAAGCTCCATCACTCTCTCTTGGACAGTCTAAAGCACTGCAAACAAAAGAGGAATGGTTAAACAAGAAAAACAGGGCTCAGAGAAAATTTGACCACAACAATTTGTTAATGCTAATTCATATGAATTTGCTATCAATCTGATATCCCCCCTCTTTCTCATCTCAGATATTTCTTCAGTCCCGTACTGCTCAACTTTTACACAGAGACAGAAAGAGCAATCAACGATGCAATTTCTTCCCTATTCACTGATACAAAAAACAATTGAAAAACAAAAAAAACACAAAGCAGTAATGAAATTCAATAGCAGTACAGAAGCTAAATCATTCTTAATTTGACTGGACAATTCACTGAAAGATATTTATATTGCTCATCCAACATTCAACAATGTAGACAGTTTCAAAAAGTAAACAGTCCCTTGTACTGTCGCCAGTAGAATATGTATCTTCTAGACAAAACCAGAGAAAGAAACAATTAACAAGAAAAATCAAGCCATAAACATGCCAGAATCAGTTTATTAACTCATCGGTGTTTTCAGAGTGGAATTTACGGCCAAAAATTGCAGAAACAAAGATTCTCCATACAAATCGAAAATTTCGTTTCTCAAAGAGAATGAAGAAGAAAGTTACAGAGTATTGGCATGCTGTACATCGGCTTCAAGCGCTTTGAGCGAATCCTTGAACGAAAGCTTTCCCATGGCGGTCGAATTTTCCCGGAAAAGAAAAATCCAATCCAACGAAAACGAATGATCGATCAAGTAGAATCAAAATCTCGAACCGAAACCCTACAGATTATCCTCATAATCTAACATAAAAAAATCAACCAAAAAACAAAATCTCGTAATCGATAATCCGAAATTCTTTCGAACTGATCAAGCAAAAGCACAAGCAAACGCCGGTTTTTCTCAGCTTCGAACTCGAGCCGTTCTATTTTATAAATAGCAACCTAATTTACCATATTACCCTCCTTCAGCAATATAATTACGCTTCCAACAATTTGTGTGTTTATCGAGGTAATAATCAAGTACGGTCGAGTAGATTCTAAATAATGAATTCCACCAATGACTCGTCGCCAGCGATTTATTTTGAGCACACAAGAATTAAAAAATATTATTTTGAAATGACATGGCGGGTCCTTATTGGCTAGTAGTAATATCCAAAATCAACTGGTGGCGCCCAATCTTTTAAATTATGGCGGCTAAGGTTAAATGACGTCTAAATCCAAATTCCCACTCATTAAAATTAAATTAAAAATTAGGATAATTGACAAATTAAGAAAACATTTTTATGGCTAATTTTTTCTTTTTATATTATATATATATATATATATATATATATATAATATGACATGACATGAGCGAAAACAAATAATATAAGCTTCTCTCGAGTAAAAGTTTCTCTTTTCTACTTTTCATATCCTCGATTTAAACAGAGATTTTCTGTCACTGTTAGTCCTTACTGATTAAATAGACATCTCTAATATTAACGATATGTATTTTTAAATTTTTTATAAATTAAAGTATAAATAGTAAAATGTATTATTGGATAAGGTTGTGATTAATTAACTTATTTATTATCTTATCTTTAAGCAATAAAGTATTGCGGATAGGAATGTATTATGTACTTTAATCCTTATGCATCATATTCCATAATTACAAAATCTAAAAAAGAAAAAAATATATAATTACAATAAAGTATTATAATTAATATATTATTTATTTATTTATTATTATTATTGATTACCCTAAACCCTTTAACCCTAATCTATAAGGTTTTATGTAGGTATGTTTAATCCAATCAGTTGCAAATTGACCTTTTTCTTTTCTTTTCTTTTTATCAAGTCAATTTGACGAACCCAAAAAATAGGGCTACAATCTAACTCAACTTAACCTTATTTTACTGGTAAGATTACTATAAAAATTAAAGATATTTGATTTTTGTCACCGATAACTGTTGTGACTTGTAAATGTTTAATATTTGATATTTATGAGATTTAGCGATTAACATAACATATATTGTTAGAGATCCGGGGGGGGGGGGCGAGGATGGAGAAGGCTTCCCCATCCCCATTCTCATCCCGATCTCCGCCACCTATTTCATTACCCATCCTCCCAAAATTGTCGATTTATTTTTGTGGAGATTCCCTATAAGTAATTGACAAGTATCAAGTTTTGAGCCGAGAAAATGTTCCGTTTATTATTAAAATTTAAAAAATTATTATTTTAAAGAAACTTATAACAAATAAAACCCATAAGAACTTGTAAATGCGAACTTAAAAAATCTCTCTTTTAAGTCGGTAGAACTAAGAAAGGAATGTGGGGAGAGATTTCTCCCCGCTCCCTCTCTATTCACGGCGAGTCCTCATGGGCCCAACTCGACAACCCATATACACTTGAAAATAGAGCGTTGAGTTGGTTGTAAACTCTTCTCCAATTACTCAAGTTACTAATTCAACCAACTCTATTTTGGATCTGTCTAAAAAAAATTTCAACCCATATATACTTTAGTCACGGTAAGAAAAAAATAAAAAAATAAAAAATTATAAGAATTAAATTATATATATATAATTTTATTTTAAGATAAAATTTAACGGGACAACACAAACTATGTATGAAGGGATATAATTTATAAATATAGAGTAAAAAATCAAAGTATACCTCATTGCTTACGACACATTTAAAATGATGCCTTATAAATTATTATTATATATAATATTGAATATTATAATAACAATGCAAGTACACGAAGATTCGAACATTTAATTCTTACGAAAAAATATGCATATAATGTCAAATCCAATTAAATTATGTTTATATTGACATGTAATCCAATTTCTTATAAAAAAAAACATGATTAAATTATTTTTATTATACGATAAATTCAAGATTCTCGTGGGACGAACATCTGGATATTACATTCAAGAGTCATTTTTGCCGAAAAGAGAATTAAATATATATATATATTTTTAATAATGATAGTCCAATATTATTATTGAAAAAAAAAGTAAAATAAATATTATTAGAAGAATACAATGCATCATTTAAAAATTTAAATAATTAAGGAAAAGGAATTAATTTATCGTATCTCATGACATCGATCCAATACAAGATGGAGTCCAACATCTTGTACTTTACACTGAATCCAAGCCGGTCGGATTTGTTCCGACTAGCCACCATTTTTCCCGGCAGCCTAAACAAGCTGTCTAAGAACCCCCAATTGGCCAGCTCCTCCATTTCCGTCGGAATCAGCCCTTCCTCCTCCACTATCTCCGCCCACAACCTCCCTTTCTCCGTCATCGCTGCCGTGTAATGGAACTCCGGAGAAAACATCCCCTCCTCGTCCTCCGCCGCCGCCGCCACTCCAAACTTCTCCGCCACCGCTCCCCATATCTCCTTCCACGTGAAGCTCCACCCGTTGCACACGTTGAATGCTTCCCCGTCTGCGGTGGCTGTCGTTGGAATTTACACATAAAATATTTTATATAAATATTTTTATGGAAAAGTGAAATTAATTATTAAAAATAAATTAATAGTGAAAGAGTGGCGTACTGTTTATTTCATTGGTGGCGGCCCAAACGTGCTGCTCCGCCACAAGCCGAGCGTCGGAGCCATTGATACAAAACCCTTCCCAGCACGCCGCCGAGCCGCCGAACACAAACGGCTTCTTCAGCTTCTTACAAATAGCTCCATAAACACACAAACTCCCCATAAAATTAAAAAAAGTCCGGTTCGAACAGCCCAAAATCAAACCCGGTCGAAGAACACTCCACGCCACCCTCCGCCCGCCTCCAGACAGCCGCTCACGGAGGAGATCCTCCAACGCATAATAAAAATTGTTCCCAGATTCCGCCCTCGGACTATCCTCACAATAAACCGCCATCCGACCGCCGCCGCCTCCGACGGCGGCTCCCGTCAACGAAACGTAGTGCTTAATCCCGGTCTGTAGAGAGACGTGGCGGAGAGCCGGCGCCGCCGGGAGAATGACGTCGAGGACGTTAGCCAACATGGTCCGGTTCTGGTCCGAGCAATCTGAGGTATCGAACCGTAGCTGGGCAGCCCAAGTGACCCAGAAAACATGTGTGACGTGGCGAACCGGCGAGAGGTTTCGGTGAGCGGAAGAACGGTCGAGCAAATCGCAGGAAATGAATTGAAAATTAGTATCGGTGATGGGGCTGACATTATCCGGCCGCCGTGCGACGCCGTAAACTTTCCAGCCGCCGGTTGAGAGAAGGGCTTTTGCTAACTCTTTTCCGACCAAACCGGTGACTCCGAAAATGACGGCGACAAGTTCGCCATTGCCGTCTAATTTTGCATTGATTGTTTCGGCCGCCATTGATAGCAAATTTCAAAATTTCAAGCTGTCTGTAAGACCATGATCGATATATATATATATATATTTGTGTTAATTTTAAATTTTAAATTTGTATTAAATATTAAAATAATTTATTAAACAAAACTTATGAAAAAGAAGAAGCATTTATAATTTAGCTTAAAGAAAAAAAAAAAGAGTTGTAATATTGGAATAAAATAAATAAATAAAAGAACTATAACCACCGTTTCATTAAATATCTAGTAAATTTTCAATTAATTTAACTTTAATACAAATAAATTATCAATTAATTAACTAAATTAATAAAATTATAACTCTAATAAATCCCCCAATTAATTACTTTATTAGTGGGGTTGAATAATTTTGTATTAGATGAATGGAAAAATTGTTACTAAACTAAAAAAAAAAAATTAAATATAATATATTAACTTATATGTTATTTATTTTTTAATTATTTAAATACCCTTGCTATATATATATATATATATAGAAATCGGCAAGGATGTGTATAGCACGGTTTCATAAGTACGAAAAATGTTCGATAATCATCTTTTTTTTTTTTTTAATTAAGTTTAAAAATATTACTTTTAACCGTAAAAATTTTAATTTAGAAAATAAAAATAAAAATATCTCTATAATATATATATATATATATATATATATATATATATATATATTATATGTTTTTATTTATTTATTTCCATTTTACCTAATTAAAAAAAAAGTGAAATGTTTAATTAGTTGCAATAGGCCCTTCAAAGACGTGCAAACCAAAAATCAACTTGTTTTAAAAAAATAATTTTAAAAAAAAGAAATTATTATGAAGACTAAATAAAATGAACTTGAAGGCATGTTCTATTATTATGAATGAAAGTCAAAATACTTTACAAGTAAACCAAGCAAAGCAATTGTAAGCTACTCAACTAACTCGACCACATGTTCTATTATTTCAAGGCTCGAGAACGCTTACGTTAGTATCTGACCAACTCGAAAATAGGATTACAATTCAATCTGATTAAGTTCATTTAACGATTCTAATCGATGTTCGTGATGGATTGTGTTACATCTGTGCATATGAGTTCAATAGTTTGAACAGAAAAAGCAGAAAGAAATTGCTACATAGCTGAAGAGAAGTACCATTCCTTTGATGTAATGTGAATTTCCGTCCTGATAAAAAATTTAAATTTGATTTATAATTGAGAAACGAGCTGAATTTAAATTTTAGAGACGGATTAGATGGACGTTACTTGTAGAGTGAATAGAGTGAGGACGATGGCGAAGGCGAGAGACGCAGTTTCGATGAGACCGAAATCAAGATCCATTTTGATGCTCGAACACCATCCAACAGCTACACTCAAAGGCACCTAATAATTGAAACGTTCATATTATCATAAACTCATTCATCTTCGTTTACCCTCTTTTTTTTTTACTACTAATTTATTACCACAAACACTGAAATTTGAGCTGCTGATCCCAATGCTATCCCAAGTGTTATATCCTACACAACAACAATCGAAATAAGTAAACGGTGTTTTCTCGGTCGGGTGTTGTATGTTCTTAATGCTTTAGGGTTGGTGTGAGATTCCACGTCGGTTGGGGAGGAGAACGAAACGTTATTTATAAGGGTGTAGAAACCTCTCACTAACAGACACATTTTTAAAATCTTGAGAAGAAACTCAAAAGGGAAAGCTCAAAAAGTGATAATATCTCTTAGCGGTGGGCTTGTGCGGTTACAAATGGTATTAAAGCTAGACACTAGACGATGTGCCAGCGAGAAGGCTGAGCCCCAAAGGGGAGTGGACACGAGACGGTGTGTCAGAAAGGACACTAGGTCTCAAAGGAAGTGGATTGTGAGATCCCACATCGATTGAAGAAAACAAAACATTCTTTATAAGAGTGTGGATACATGTCCCCAATAGATGCGTTTTAAAAATCTTGAAGAGAAACTCGAAAGGAAAAGTCATGTTAGGGGTGGGCTTGGGCTGTTACAAATGGTATAAAGAGCCCGACACCAGACGATGTGCCAGCGAGGAGGCTGAGAACTGAAAGGGAGTGGACACGAGACTGCTTGATCTCGAGGGGGGGGGGG